AATTACTGTTGGTTGGTAACCATAAAATGTAATAACTGGCAACAAAAGATAATTTCTACACTTAATGAAGTAGTTTGCTAAGCAATAAGATATGACTGCTTTGATACATACAGGTTATAGTTTATGCTTTGACTTTTTAAACATTGTATTTTTCCATTTTACCAGATTGTTTGTGAGTGGAGCTGTTACACTTAAATGGAAATTGAATTCATTTAGTGCACCAAAATAGCATTGTAGAAGGGTTTGGGTGCCTTTTCAATGAATCAGAGCAGTAGTTTCACATGCATTCTGTAGGAAGCTGATTTAAGTGAGGTGCTATCCTCAGACAGTGGCAGCTTGTGCAGGAGGATACATCAACACCAGGGAGTCCTGCTCCCATGGGCACTTTCTCTGAAATCCTGGGGGAATCCTTCTCATCTTTGTGCTTAGCTCTCACCTGGTACAGTGCACTTTTCCCAGTGGTGGCTGCAGCCTGCACCGTGCTGCCCTGCTCCCCGCCTCAGTCCCCAGGAGCCAGCCTGCCATGGGCCTCCTCACCTTCATCTCATCCTAAAAAGGTTTTTAAAAGTGTTCAAACCTATGGATTTGAGCGAGGTGTTGACCTTTGGGGAGCCAGGCTGCTGTTTCTGCCAGACAGGAAGGAGGGTGCAGAGGATGCTGCTGAGAGAGGCAGGAGGGTTGTGGCAGAAGCTTGTTGAGGGTTTGTCCAGCTGAGGCCCTGCTCTGTTATTGTTTTATCTGAGAAGCAAATAGATGGTGGGGTGGCTGCTGTGGCAGAGCATGGAGACCACGGTCCCCACCCTGTGAGACTACCCTGGCACAGCAGTGACTCTGTCCTGCCTGTGCAAACCTTCCTCAGCCCCTCGCCTGGCCCCAGCCCTGAATCTTGGGCAGGGAGCACAAGGCAGGAATGGCCCTGTTTCCTGCAGAGCTGGCTTCCTTCACTCCTCTCTGTTTCAGCATAGTTTACCATGTCTGTTCTGGGGCTGGAGGCAGCTTGGGTTGATGCGTGGAAGTCTCTCAGTGTTGTCAGACAATGCTAGAGAGGGGTCGAAGCTCTGGGCTGATGTTCAGAGCCCTCCCTTCCCTGAAAGAGCTGGGAGTGTTTCCCACCCTTATCCAAGGCAGGGGCTGATTCTTGCTTGGCTGCATCCTTCCTCCCCTGGGACCACTCTCTTCCTTTGCCCCTCTTGTTTCCCAGACAGAGGTCACTGCAGTCAGCACAGTCTGATGGGAGCTGCTGCTCCAAATCCACCAGCCCTGCCCTAATGTGGTCTGGGATCTCTGGTTCTCACCACACACAGACTGAGCCTGGGGCGTTAGCACAGACGCAGGGCAGGAGTGGGGCTGTAGCCAGGGGACCAGCTCTGCTTCAGCAGGCTGAAATATAACCAAAGCAAGCTCACCCCTAGCCCCCTATCAGGGAAAGACATATTCTTATGGTCAGAGCTCTTGCTTACAGATCCTGGGACAGTTGTAGCTGCTCTGTTATGAATTCAAGGGTGAGTGCACCTTTACCAGCTGTCCTAGAAAGCTGCAGCTATCAGGTCTTGGAGAATCACAGAAAAGGTGAAGCATTCACACTAACTCTTGCCATTTGCATCTGAAACAAGAAGGACATGGTTTTCTCTTGTCTCCTGAAGCTGGTGAGGGTGATGCCTTAGGCAGTACAGCCGTGGCTTTCCTGGCATGTGGTGCAGGAAGCAGAGCTTCTCCAGGATGACTCCAGAGGAACGAGCTCTGACCTGCATCTCTATAGGTGACTGATAAACAGCTAAAACCATCAGCACCCAGTGACTGGGGCAGCAACAGCTGCGCTGGAGCTGGGGATTTCCCGACCTGCTGGGTACCGGGCTCCAGAGCAGAGCAGGAGCTGCACCCCGGAGGATCCCAGCCCGGGCAGGGTTTGCCGGGTGTGCCCCGGCACAGGCAGCAATGCTCTGCTGTGCACAGTGCTCTGCTCTCCCCTCTGCACCGCAGCCTCTGCCCCGGGCTCACTTTGCGTGGCACTAGGTTGTTCTATTGGATGGATGATAAAACTGGTAAACAAAGCTGTGGCATTGCAGCAAGGCCCTTTTGAGGAGTGGTTTTATTTAAACTGAAACTGAAATAAAACTCAGCGCTTGTACCTTTTAGCACCTGCAGCTCACAAGGAACAAGCTGCACCTCTGGGGGATTTCCCCAGGTGCTTTGCTTGGTGACTGTGCTGGCTTTCGATGTGCCCTTACCCCTCAGGAGCTGACAGATGGGTGATGGGAATCCTTTGTCTGCCTGTCCCCGGGTGATCAGGATTTACTCAGTCCTTTGTTTCCTTGGCCATTCTAAGGCTCTTGCCTTTTCTATCTTTCCACCATCATCTCTTAATGTCTTGAATTTTTAGAATGTTAGTCTGGATTAGGCTCTCCTTTGTTTCCTGAGCTGAGTGTGCTGTGCTGGGCTGGATGACTTGCTAATTGAGGTGCCATCAACACTTGCCATACTGGAAACAGTCCCTTGTTCCTCACCTGCTAATTTAAAATCTCTTCTGCAATTCTCTACAAACCAGGTTTTTCACACCACAGTGCTGTGTTACACCAGAGTGGCCAATCCACCCGGGAACTATTTTCTTTCGCAGTGATGGACACTAGATAATTTTGTGGGAAGAAGCCAGGTGGCTTCTCGGAGAGAAGAGCTTAGGGAAATGCCAGTCCCAGTGGCTGTCCCTCTTGCAGACAGCAGGAAGCTGTGAGTGCAGCGGACTGGGGGGACCTGCTTGTCCCCATAAACCCTCCTGTCCCACAGCACCTCGCGGTAGGCACGCGGGGTGGTGTCCTGGTGTGTAGGACCCAGACTCATCTGCCTTCCCTCCTTTTGTACATAAAATCACCCATTTCCCCCCAAGTTACGGCTATCTGGGTTCTGTGGATCCACCAGAAATTCGAACTGGGTTCTGCAACGAACTTTGCAGCTTGAGGTTGGTAGAGACATGAGGACCCACTTCTCCTAAAGACCCTCACCCATAGAGCTGCTTGTAAAGACATTAGCACCCATCTTGCCTATCACTTTTCTGGTCAGAAAGTGGTACGATGGCTGCAGAGTTGCTCAGGCCTTTGTGCAAGATAGCTTTCCACAAATCTTTCTTCTGCATGACTCAAGTCATGACTTGCCACCCCATGAGAGGCTGCCCGGACACAGGCCAGCTATTCAGAGCAGCGCATAGCCAGGCTTGCCACTGGCCAGGCACCTGGGCACCACCTTTCCTGTTTACCCCGTGGTGACAGCAGGGCTCTGTCTCTGGCAGGGCAGGAGCAGGCAGTGGGTGTTTACTGAGCAAGCATCCGCCAGTGCCCAGCCGGCAGCCGGAGCTGGTGGGATCCCACCCCGTGTTCAATAGCAGCGCTGTGTTTAGGGCTGGGAATTGTCACATTTGGTGACAATGCCTTTTGGTGCCTGGTCCCAGGAAACCCAGCATTCAGCTCTTTTCCTTCCAGGTGTTGTTGGTGTATCCTAACCTGAGCTCCATGGCAGAGCAGCTCGCTTTATTTGGAGGCACCTTCTGGACATGCACGTCTGGATCCAGGAGAGGCCAAAGGGAGCATCGCTCAGGCCTTTGGTCTTCATGTTGAAGTTGCCCCAGCTGGGTTCCCTGTGAGAGCTCGTTCTTTGAATGTGCAGAGCAGGGCTGTGCATCCCTGCAGGAGCCCTCCTGGGGCTGGGGCCCCGGGCTGGGGAAGCACAGCTCCATCAGGCTGCTCAGGGCTTTGAATTCTCCAGCTGGTCAGGGTACTGCAAAGGTCTTGAGAGAGCCATGTATTGTGTCTTTTTTTAGGGTCTGTTAAGTGCTGTAGCTGGAGAAGAGCTTTGATAACTCTGTCTGTTCTGAAGAGCTTTTAAAAATGCTGAAATTTCCCCAAAACAGTATAAGAATGGGCTGCCTGGCTGGTGGATGAATATTTACTGCTGACAGCATCTGCGCTGGATGCTTCTTCACTGTGGGGAGAAGGGACATGATGATGGATTTCCTTCAGTACCTTTATTTTTTTCTGTAATTAGCTCATCAGTCCTTCGTGGCTTGGATAGAAACTTTAACAGAAATTGTCAAAATATTGACTATGAGACATTTTAAAATTGGAGAGTCCATCCCGATGTGGCTACATTTCTCTGTTTTCTTCCTGTTTGTACCCTGAAAAACCCTCACAGGATCTGTGTTTATGAACAGGCAGTGTAAGAGCCTTTTGGCTTTCCTCCTCCTGTATGCTGTCACACTGTCTAGCAGCTGTGGATCTGGGGGGATCTTTGCTTGCTGCAGGTTCCCTTCAGGGAAGCTGCCCGTTTTTGCTGTTGTGGGAGGCTGAGTAGCTCCCCATTTCTATGACAACAGTTGTATTTCATGGTGGTGATATGTTCATAAATAGCTCAGGAAGGCAGTTCCCATGGCACACCCCAGCCCTGTTAGCTGTAATACTCTTGCTGCCCATTTCACCTTTCCCTCCAGCAGAACCCCACACTACTGCCAAGGTGACTCACAATATGTGCTTTACCTTTGCCATCCACAGTCTTTTTGAATATCACTTCTCTCTGCTTCATTGGGCCAGGGGAGCTAGAGAGTCTTCTTCCACATTTTCCTCATTTGTATTTTTTCAGCACCACTTTTGACTCTTTCTCAATGAACCAAAGAAGACTTATCTAAATTCCTTACAAAATCAGGTCTCAGGTGATACTTTAAACAAAACTAAATCCTTTTAAAACGTTTAAAAGTTGCTCAAGGATACAGGGATTGGTCGTGCCAACCCTAGAGAACAACAGCACAGGACTGGAGAGACAGGAGGGTAAAGAAAAAGTCCCCTAGAACAGGTCCCTGCCTCAAAAACCAGGAGGACAGAGGAGCTGTCAGAATCCCTTTCCCAGGTGTGAACCTGTGCTGGATTTGGAATTAAGGGGATAAAGAAGTTCCATTTCTGTCCTTCCCCCCTGTTTGTCCTCTCACTGTGGGATCTCTGACAAACTTCTCTGTTCCACAGCAGAGGGTCAGCAGACAGCAGAGGCCTTGGTGTCACTGTCACCTTTTCCTAGCACAGCGCTCACCTCGCTTCAGCCAAGGGAAGCCTCTGACGTCCCTGCAGTTACTGCTGCCATTCCTCAGCCAGGCCTGGAGAAAAACCCGACTGCTGCAACACTCAGTGCCACAGGGGCCCGTGCTACAGAGGTGGAGGATGCCTTCATCACCACCACCCCCGTGGCAGGCTCCAAGGCAGAGACACTGCAGGCTTCTACCACTGCCAGTCCTGGGGACATCACAGTTACACATCCTGAGCATGACAACATGAGCTTGTCAGCCAACAGCAGCACTGAAATCCCCTCCCCTACCTTGACTGCCAGCACTCTGGAAGGAAACCAGCCCGGCCATGAAGCCACAGAACCTTTCAGCACAACTGAAGAGACGGATGATGCCAGCAGTGCAACCCCCACGCCTCCTCTGAACACTGGGCCCGGTGAGATTTTGCTTTTACTGCCTGTGCACCAAGTCCTGCCTCAAGGATGCACAACCTGGGAATGTCTGAACACTCTCCTGCTAACTGGAGAGAGGGAGAAGAAGGGAATGAGACACTAAGCAGAGCCAGTTCAGTGCAAATTATTTGCAAAGATGTTGGTTCAGCATCCTCTTTGCAAACCTCATTAATTCTGGTGTTAATTGTGCTGGTTGCTTTCTGATTGATTGTGTGCAGGGACATCCTTCATATATCTAATCTGAAACAACATGCCTTAGCAGCACTGCCCAGCTGGGCCTGTCTGGCATCAGGGCTGGGGGCTCAGTGGGAGCCTCCCTGGAGAAGCACACCCTCCCTTAACACAAAACATGGAGATGGCACAAGTGACAGCTCATCCATCCAACCATGGGAAACCCTACCCTACCTTCAGATCCCTCTGGGCAGCATGGGGACTGGTTATAGGGTCTGCAATCCCAGTTTTGTCCATCTTGGGGCCTGCCAGGCTGTCACACACCCCTAATGCAAGGCAGATACTGACTGATCAACTGATTTACATGGTGTTCATGCACAACTGCTTTGTTTTCCCTGGCTTGTGTCACATGGTCCTGCTGTTCTGTGACAACTGACACAGCCTCAGGGGATGCTGCTACCCAGTCCCTGGGCAGCCCCCTTTGTGCTCCCTGTAAGGAGGGATGAGAGGCCTGTCCCAGTGTCTTGCTCTGGGGTGATCCTCAGGTGTGTGTAAAGTTGTTTAAGCTTTTCTGCTTGTCCTTTATCCCCAAGGACAGGCCTTGTGGGCCCAGATGAGGTTGGCTGACATTGCAGATTGGCACATATGAAAACTGAGAGGACTTTCTAAGCACTGTGGGTTATAGTGTGGCTCAGCTGTGGCTGTGCTAAAGGCTCTGCTTATTTTCCAAAGGGTTGACAATAAGCTGCTATACCTATAGTCCCAGCAGTCTTTCTTACACTCTTTCCTCCATCTTGTCCAGTCCCACAGAACAGTGTGCTTGCACTGGGCCCTTTGAAATAACTGCTTGTTCCTATTTTGCAGCAACAACTAACAGCTCTCAGTCAGGGCTTTTTGATGGGCAGACCCTGAGGCCCACAGCAGCAAGGTCTGAAACCAAGGCAGGAACGAGCCCTGTGGGTGCCACAGAGGAGAGCACTGTGGAGCCCAGAACCTCCTCTGCTCCCACCTCCATTGTACGGAGCACGTCCTTTGCTACTGCCTCCAGTACTGTGACAGTGACAGTGACACCCCTTGTGACCAGCTCCACGCCTGCCAGCACAGCTGCCATCCCCACCAGCACGCCCACACTGGCACAGTCACTGGAGCCCAGGCATGAGAAGACTTCTGTGTTGGATGTTGGTGATGATAATTCAGGTAAATGCACTGCTTTTAATGGGCTGCCCAGGGAGGTGTGGAGTCACCGCCCCTGGAGGTGTTTGAGGAAAGACTGGATGTGGTCTGGTTGACAAGGTGGTGTTAGGTCATGGGTTGGACTGATAATCACAGAGGTCCTTTCCAGCCTGTAATAGATTCTGTAATTGTTTTGTACCTGTTCTCACAAAACATGGCAAATTGCTGGAGCTACCTGAAATTGCCTCTTGGTTGTACTGAGCAGAAGCAGAAAAGAAAGCTTTGCTGTTCCAGCCCTTGAGGGCTCTCCCTTGGCCTCATTCCCTTGGTCTCCTTGCAGAGCTCCCCACTTTGGCTGGTAAAGCAAGGGCTGACCCCTTGGTGATCACTGTGATCTCCGTGTTCATTGTCATGGTGGCCATCCTGGCCCTGGTGGGATTCCTGCGCTACCGCCAGCGCAACAACCGCACCGAGTTCCGGCGCCTGCAGGACCTGCCCATGGTGAGTCTGCTTCCACCAGCCCCACCTGGGCTGCCCGGCCACTCACTGCTTTGCTGCTCTCCTCCATTAGCAGTGCTTTGGGTGTTTGCAGCAGCGCCAATGCTGATCACACGCTCCTGTTCCTCCTTAGGTCCCTCTCCTTCCATCCAAGGTTTGAGTCAAGACAGCAAGTCTCAAGGCTGGGCACTAAAGAAGCTCTCTGCCTTCCCCTCACTCTGCAGGGGAACGCTGAGAGGTTAGAGAGAGGAAGGAGAGCTCCATCCAGGCTTGTCCTGAAATGACACCTTCCTGCCCTCTCCTCCTGTTTTTTGATATATTTGCTTTGTAACTATGACAAAGCAGATTTGATGCTCTGTTCCAGAGAGGTTGTCTGTTTGTCTGTCTGTGTTTGACCATTTGGGAATATAAAAATATATGAGGGTTCCAGAGGCTGGACTAGCTCTGGGGAAGCTGCAAATAACTCCCTGAACTTTCTGGAACAGAGGAGTGCTGCAGCTAAGCACGCAAGCTGATGCTGTTTCAAGCTGAGTGGAGTTTTCAACAGCCAGAGTTTTCCACATCCCTGCAGCAGGCAGGCAGTTCCTGCACACACCTCTTCTCTCCAAATGCTGCAGCAGGAGGGACACTGACAGCCCAAAGATCCAGGAGCTGCACAGTGCCAGCATTTAGGTGGATGGCTGGGCAGATGCCACGCTGTGAGGTGTGGCTGAGCAGGCTGTGCTGCCTGCACAGCAGTCTCCCAGGCTGGGACCATGATGCCACCATGCAGACATCTCATTAAAGCCCCTCTTCTCTGCTTCTAGGATGACATGATGGAGGACACCCCTCTCTCCCTCTACAGCTACTAGGCAACCAGGCTGTCTGCTGCCCAGAGGAAAAGGCCTTGAGGACTTGGTCCCAGACGATCTGCTGAGGAATGAGGGGCTGTGATTTGCACACAACTGAAAGATCCTTTTCAGATGGTTTTTGGTTTTAGACATTTTCAATAGGTCAGTGTTGAAGCTTCTATGCTGCAAATCAGAGCCCAAGTCTGACCCTTTTCTCCAGGCTCACCTCAAAACAATGCCCTGAAGAAGTGTCCTCCTTTTAGTGTGGCAACCAATTAGCCAAGACAACCCTTGCCATGGTGTTCTGCATGGATCTCTTCTGTTGATCTTGGTGGCTGCTGCCTTCAAAGGAGGTGGGCAAGTGTTTCAGACTAGGGCTCTTAACACTGGTAGTGTCAGCACAGTGCCAGCAAAGGAGACTGCTGTTTTCTGAGGAAGCCAAGGATGTGGAAATCAGTTCTATTGGGCTCCCTCTTGTTCTGTATTTTTAAGGTTGTTTGTTTTGGGGGTTTTCTTGCACTTTTGTTTTTGTTCCTGTTTCAGCTTTAGTCCCAGTATTGGCATTGCCCATCCTGAAACACCTACAGGAGGATAAAAGACTACTCTGCTTCCTTCCTAGATGCACACCTTTTCTCTTCAACCAGGGAAGTGTTTTGTGGCCACTGGAGAAGTGCCCCTGCTACTTGATGTTGCTTTGAAGTTGCTGGGAGGAAATTGAACATAATGTTAGCTTAACTGAGCTTGACAGGACTCAGTCTATTGCCAATTAGACACACTAATTTGGTCTCACCACAATTAGGAAACCGTGTCTCCTACACTTGATGCTTTTGGCATATGTGTAACCTCCTTTCCCAAGCCCAGTAAATGCTTTAGTCCATTTCCCTGCCTGGGCTAACACAAGCCTTTCCTCAGGTACCTCCCATTTTGCTTCTAGCATCTGGTTGCTGGAAGTTGTTGTACAAAGCTGGTGCTTTGCTCTCCCTCCTGTGCTATGCAAGGTCAGAGCTCCTCTACTTTCTGATGTTGGTCTTTTGAGCCAGTTGTGTCTTGTCATGAGGACAGATCCTGGATGTAGGTGCCTTCCTCCCCTTCCCTTTCTTGGTGTTATGCTGATTAGATTCTGCACTTTTGCCTCAAAATATCACTGCTGTAGACTGCATCCAAGGCTCTTGAGGCCTCTCAAGGAAACCCATAGACCAGAGCCTCTGAGTGTAAATCAGAGGAGCTTTTGGTGCCCTTGCCTCAAAAAGACTGGAGTGTGTGTGACATGACAATCTTCATGTAATTACACCTGCTCCTGTTTTCTAACTCACATTTGACTGCAGAAAAATGGAAACACATGCCTTCTCTAGAGTGTTTGATTTTTGACTAAGCCAGTTGCTCCCTCAGGATACAGCAAGGGCTAGAGTTTATCTGGCACATTGCTCTACAAGCCTCAGTTTCTCCTCTCCTTTCAGTAGCAACATCACTGAACCCCACAAAGGACAGATACCAAGCCTCACTTGCAAAAGTACCTTTTTTTTTTCCCAGTGCTGTTAGTGGTTGTCATAGCAGGGTAAGGGATAATTCCCCATCAGCTGAGCTCAAGTAGCCTGGAAAGCCCAAAGATGGAGCAGAACTGGTCTGGGTCAAATAGATGAACTGGGTAAGGCAGCAGTTCCTCCTCCCTGTGCTGCTGCTTCCAGAGTGGCTGACAAATGGCTGCAGTGCAGTTGGGCTTCAGTTTGGCCTTCCATCTGTGTATTTATGCCCAGTAAAATAGGGAAGAGGGTTGGTTCTCTTCTATGATTGCATGAGAACTGAAGAGCAATTGTCACAACTCCAAAGCTTTTGTATCAAGCATTGTCTGCACAGAGTGATCTCCCTAGCTACAGACTTGTTTCCCCTGCCGGAGGGCAGGGTGCTGCTGGTTTTCGGCACAAAGTTGGCAAGTTAGTGGTGGAAAACAGAACTCCATCCTGGCTGGAACTGGTGCAGGCTGGCATATCTGGGAAGTGTGTCTGCACACAATCAAAAGGGCAGAGGCTGGTTGTTCTGGTTTCCCATGCATCGCTGTGCAGGGAAAAGGGGTGAGGAAAAACTCGCCCAACACCAAAGTGCAACTTTGTTTGTAAAATATGTTGATATTGGATTTTTTTTTTCTGCAATAAAGTTACAAATGCCAAAAGTGTCTCAGTCCTCGTATTTTCATTGCAAACACGTAACTGAAAAGCTTTTATAGATCACGATGAATCCTGTGATAGATGAACAGCAGCAGTTTGGGGCACAAAGACTCACAGAGCTGATAACTAGAAAATGCCAGACAGCCATGAACCATAGCTCTGACAGCCCAGAAGGACACCACCCCCTGCCTGTGTTCCTTCTTCTCAGGGTCATTCCTGGTCTGGGTCGAGTGAGATTAATAAGTATACAGTTAAATCAGATGAAATGTGTCTTAGAGAACCACACTAGACCAAATAATCTAATCTACACCTTTAGACTCTCTTCCTTTGCCTCTGATTGGAGATGTTCTCATGTTATCAACTGTAACCCCAAACCTTATTTACAAAAATATCCTGAAAGCCAGCCTAATCCAAGCCTAAGTAGTACCTGTCATGCTTCTTTCTGTAGTACAGCAGACAAAGCAAACTGGAAGACATGTACTTTCTTCTTAGCTTTAGAGCTGTTTTGAACTCTTTGCAGCTCAGACCTGCAGGGAAGTAAGTGCTCAAAAGCCCAGGTTCTGCTACAGACCTACTAAGAGTTTCCTAGCTGTTAAAATTCTTTGGCAAAATCAGTCAGCACATGTCATACATTGCTTGTATTAAAGATTTCTATTGCAAAAGCAAAACTTGGTGAGTGAGAGACTTGTTAATTGTCTTATGCTCTTTTCTAAAGAGTTCTCACTACAAATCTAGAAAAGCAAATCCTTGAAGATCTAGAGCAAGGGGAGAGCAAACAAAGACTTTGTAGCCTAGCAAAGAGCTTGCTGAGTAATCTGAAGACATGGGGATGAACTCTAAACCCTGCAGAGATTTGAGTCCTGTCCCAACACACAAAACAAAACAAACATGCCACAACTAAGCCAGTCTTCTCAGGTCTAAAGTCAGCATTATTCTGGTGGTTTATATTGGAGTGTTCTCTGCTCTGCCTTTTTACCTCCAAAGCCACTCAGAGCTGATTCATTCTCTGCACAGCAAACTGCTCAGCTGCCATGTTGGGGAGGCAGCTCAGAGCAGGCTGTGCTAGCTGGAGAGGCAGCAGCAGGACAGGCTTGTGCAGGCAGCCACCCCTGGGGCACACAGAGCTTTGTGCCTTTGCCCAGCTGAGTTCTGACCTTCCAACCAGACCATGCAGCCTCTGAGGTGGCCAGGTTTGGGATGGAGCATGGGCCACTTGTGTGGGCTTCACCTTTCCTGTGCAGCAAAGAGAACTGACAGAACCAGAAAACAACTGTTGCCAGCTCATGCATTTCTGCTTGAGCACAGCTGTTGCCTCTGATGGGGTTTAGTTTTAATGCCTCTTAGGCTAAGGCATGATTGTATTACTAATTAGCAAGGGACCAAGAACCAACCTAATCACTTGGGTTTAAACAGAAAGAACCACAGGTAAAATAAAACCAAAGTTTGAGACCCATCTGCCTCCTCTGACCTTCCCTCCTCCTCTCTCCAGACTCATGTTTTGAGGGGAAGGGGATCTGAGAAACTGAAAAGTGACAATCCTAGAGCTGCTGTGCCCTGGGCAGGGCTACCTGTGCTCTGTGCCATTTCTCTGCCCACTCAGTTGTCCTTCATGTCTCAGGGTCTGGATTTTAGCTTTACACAGTGTATTAAACCATCAAGTCACACTGCAAGTCTGTGAATAAGGCTACAGAGGGTGTTCAGGGACAGAAACTGCCATGAGGAGCACTGGAGTGAACAAGGCAGTGTGTGGGTCTTGTAAGACAGATCATCCCATAAGGATTTCCCATGGATAACAGTCAGTCTGCTGTGCTTGCTACCACTTAAAGCAGAATGAAAAAGGCATTCCACTGATCCAGGGAGCAGGAGTACACAGGCAAGCAAGGGAGGCAGAGCTGTAAATTTTCAGTAATGAAGATTATGAAATGATGCAGAACCTGGAAGATTTTACTAGCCAGTGTTCTTCTTATACCCAGGGGAGAACAGAAATGCCTACTGTCATTTCCCAGACACCTGTGAAGGAAACAGGAGGCTGCTCACCTGTGCAGTATTTATACTTAATTTTCTATAACTACATCAAATCAGTATCAATGTGGATTTGTCATGGGGGAAGGGGGACAGTTTTTCTAAGTGCACCTCCCTGAGCCTCTGCCCATGACACTCATGTTCTTGCTACCTCTGCTTCACTGCATAGCAGAAGCAAGACAGGAATCTTATGTCCAATAATTCCTTTCCATCCTCCACAAAGAAAACAAAAATCATGCACTTACTGTCCATAAAACAGCCAAATTTTCAGTCCTACTGATAAGCAAAGTGATAAGCAAAGCTGGAAGACCATGACTGCAAGTATAAAAGTCTCCCAGCAGTTTCCCAAAATTTTTTGTGGTTTGGTTTGTTTTAATCTCCTAGAACTTTGTAATGCAATGATGGGCTTCAAAGTTCCCCACCCAAACACATTTGAATGAAGCCTTTTCCTCACTCTAATACCAAAGGGGTCATGTTTCCTCACAGACCTGAAAAAAATCAACCTTCATCCAGAGCACAACTTCAAAACAATGTCAGAAGATAAAGCACTTAAAAGCTCCCAGAAAAGGACCTTCTAATTATGCTCCTGATAGAAACCTTGTGAACTAGATCTCCCATCAGTTAATCCTGCAACATTGGTAAGGTTTTATAAGAAATCATTAACTACTACGTGAAGGAAGCATAGATAGGTTGATAATCTTGTACATTTTAAATACAAAGGGATCGATTTATTCATCTGCCTGACAGCCTGCACTGTCTTCCTTGGTTTGTTCCCACTTCCTGTCCAATAAGTGCACTTGAAAGACACACTGAGCACAGGTCTGCTTCACATGCCCCAGCAGCTGAACAATGGTTAGCCTCAGTTCCTCTGTAATATTTTTCCTATTCAATGACCCATCAGCCAAATAACCCCCTGAACCACAAAACCAGCTTGATCTTGATCGGACTGACAGTGGTCACAGCTGCAAGAAAACAAGTACATGTTTGTTCCTACTGTTCAGCTCCCTCTCTGTTTACAGGTAGACCAGATTCCCCACCCTCAGATCAAATAAAGAGCTAAGTTAGTTACCAGAGGTATCCTCCCAGTCATAAAACAGGTCTCCCTGTGATGAACTGCCCAGAATTAATATATCCCTGCAGCAGAAGCCTTTTGCTAGCTCTCTTTGAACTACAATGGAACATCTGTTGACAATCTCCCGCAGGGTAACTTCTCTCCTCCCCTGTTTTAATCCTCTCTCCCTTTCAGAAGTACACATCAGCTGCCTTAGGATGACTCTCACCAGCACTGGAGTGTTTCCTTTCACTGGTCTTTCTTGGGACCAGTAGGAAGAGGGATGATCAGTCAGCTCTGATCAGTGTTTTCTTCAAAATTTGCTGTTATGTCCAGACTCCTGAAGCTTTCAATGCTGAATTATATGTTCTGCTTGGAACAAGACAAGATTCATGGGCTCTTGAACATGACTTTCAGCAGATTTGGACACTCATTTCATTCTGACTGAGAAGAGTTTTACTATGGACAACTGCATAATTAGCAAAATGTTCCTTTGCACTAGTACTGGCTATGCCTTCTGATCACACAGACAAATAAACACAGCTAATTGCTAATTGCTTCAATTTCCCTTCTGATAATCTTAAGGGCAGTATGAGAAATTTTGGCCACTTTTTCAAAAGGATCTCAATATTTTTAGGTGGAAGGAAATTGTGGACAAAACTATTTGTGGCTGTCTAGCAGAAAGGGAACTTGCTTTCAAAAAGGACTTTGAGAAGAACTGGGAAAAGAGTTTCCTTTATTTTACAGAGTCTAAGCTGGTGTCATTCATTCACCTCTTCCCTTCTCCTTCAACAGGCAGCAATTATAAAATTAAGTTATCTCAGAGGGAAATGAAATAAAAAAAAATTCAAACCACATAAGGAAATTTCACAGAGCCCTTTTCTGCCACTGTGGCACTCTATTCTCATAAAACAAACCAGCAACCTCCCCCTTGTGAGCGTCATGGAATTTTCTGTTCAAATAACAACATTTCTCCACCTGTTTTGTGGCACACAAGAGGAGGCATTTTACCAGCACTTGTCAAGTCAGCTGCTCCATATTGGGTCGTGACAGGGTAAACCTATGGTCATTCTATATCTGTTCTGTTCCTGCTGTGCATAGTCTCCCTAAAAGGAACAATCCAAGCTCAGCTCCACATCCCAGAGCTTTACATAGCCAACAGTGTAAGCACAGCCCAACATAACACAAAGCTTACTGTACAGCTGGGAGAAAAAACCTAAACATTTGAAGGCATTAGTAGAGAAAATACACTAAATTCTCTCCATTTGTTCTGGTTGTTCTCATCAAGTGAGAGCTCAGAGGACAGGATCACACATCCCATCCAATGGGAGAGGGCTGAAGCAGAGGACTGCAGCCAGGAATCCTCTGACCTTGGAGGGACACCCCCACTGTAGCCAAGCACCACAGCATCTCTCTCTCTGCAAGCCAGCTGGCAGCTGCCAAAGCTGATTGACAAATCACAAATCAGGCCCTGCACCAGTGCCTGTCCCCTGCAGAGAAAGAGCAGAGCACACAGAAAGGGTGGAAGGGGCAGGTCTGAACAAGGGGGCTTGAGATGGCAAACAGCAGCTCAGGTCTCTGGCAGAGTGTGGGACTGGGCAGTCTGTGAATGACTCTCAGAATGGCTGTTTCCCTTTCTGGAGCTGCCCCCCTTGGATCAGCCCCACACCTCACAGCTTCCACTTGTGGAAAATCCAGGGCACAAACAAGTCAAGAAGAGTTTGCCCACCCAGGGAAGCCAAGATCCTTTTCCATGTTTTAGTTGCTCCCAACAGTAAAGAGTGCATCTTTTAGTTAACATTAAAGGTCATGCAGCTCCAGCCCAGGCAGGTCATTGCTGAGATCATCACTCCAGCTATTTCCAGCCACTTCTCCAGCACCAGCTCCAAACACAGCCTGGAGACACATGTACAATCTACACCAAAAGACCAAA